GTCCCATCCTGAAATCCCCTTGGCACAGTCACTTGGCCACCAGCCAGCTCTGGTTAGACTTTCATCAACTCTGCCATAGGAACTGCTCTGGGGAGCAGGGGGTTTAAAATAATCTGAAGTGGTGCCTGCTTCCCCCCAGGCCTCTGCTGCCAGCCTTCGCTGTGCGGGTGCCAGTGGTGGTGCCAGTGGGACACATGGGGATGCGTCCTGGCTGGAAAACTACCCCGTGCTGTTGGCAAAAGGGAAGGCAGGAGGCAGGAGGAGAAGGGAGTGCACCTCAGCTGGTGAAAAAAGTGAACTTCAGATGGGTGTTATGACTGTGATAAAAAGTCACTGTCGGATCAGTGATATCACCAGCTTTTCCTCTGTGAGACAGTTCCTTGGGAAAAATCCTCTGGAAGCCTCAGAGCTATTTGAGTACCTTAACTGGAGTTTGGTGCCATACAGAGCCCCACCTGGCTTCCAGCTGCTGCCCAAGAAGGAGGTCTCCTTTTGCCCCTGGGTCTCCTGGAGGTCCTGTGTGCTATTTGTCAGGCCTGTGCAGACACTTTGACGTCCTTGAATAACCCAGGTTTTCTAAAATACTACTAGGTGCGTATGTTTAAACCCCTGAATACTTCTATATTGTAAACTCCATTTCATGTGAAAATGACATTTTTGGTGATTAAATGAGCTTTTGCTAGGTTACTGAGTAATGAATAGTTCACCACCACCAGCAGGTTGCATTTGCAATAAGCTATAGCAATACCAGAAATAAAAATGATAGAGCAAACCTTGTTCTTACTGAATAGCTGACAAATAGCAACAATTTTATGGCTTGATAACCTAAGGAAGACACCTTCTTTGGTTTGCAAGTTTTTGATTTTCAGTATTCGCAAGTCAATAGATCCAAGATGTCAAGCACCTAAGAAAAACTGGTCTATTTTTATCTACCTACATCATTACTGAGTGGCAGATTTTATTTTCCGTGCTGTGGGTTGCAAACTTTCTCTTCATTGTATTTATATGTGACTGCAATGTACATACAGAATGTAATAAAAATGCAGCTTGCTGAAAATGTTATGTCTATTTGGATAATAAAAAAGTTAAAATTAAATGTTTTAATAAAATATGCTTGTGTTTTGCTATAAAAGACACCAGAAAAAATTATTAAAGAAACAAGCCTTCCAATGCGTTTGTAAAGGCTTGCCAAGTCTTTTATTTTTAATGCTTTCTGTATATAAAATGAAGAATAAACAAGATAAACAGAACTATCCCAGCTTGTACTTTGATCAGGAAAATACCAACCCGGCAGGTACAAGAAAAACAACTGTCACTGATGATTAATCTGTTCTAACCACTCCTGTATACGTAACTCACACAGACTCTCCATCCTAAGGAGAGAAATAATCAAATATCAAATCCCAAAATCCCTCTAAAACCGCTCAGATATGTGTTTCCCTTCCTTTTGTAAGGATAACTAAACCACAGGAGAACAGCACCAAAACAAAAGGCCTGTAGCCTTGTTCCCAGCATCCTCTGGTAAGATGATTTTTGTGTTAAAATATGTTGATTGCAAATGCAACTCAGTCTTTTCCCTGCTGAAAGGTGTTCCTTTCCATATCTATTTCTCTGCATTTTTAGCTTAGCACCTTCCTGTCAAACAACAGACCTGAACCACTCCTACACCAATGAGTGCTTCCTGTCTTCCCATCTGATACGCTGCCCTGTAACTGCTTTTCTTAGTAAAATGTCTGAAATTGAGATTCTTACTCCCCTCACGCTCCTTGTACAGCAACGAGACCTGGGAAAACCCCTCCTTGTTTGAAGGAGGCACTAAAAGCATAAGGTACTATTTAGTTTGTTTAGGCAGGAGGGATCTGGCCCCAGAACAATGAAAAGAAATCTGGTTTCTTGAAACTGCTGAAAGACTGGAACATTTTGTTCCCTAGATGACTTGATATTTTCATTTTCAGATAGCACAGGACTGGAAGACTGGGGAAGAGCTCAGTCCAGGAAAGCTGTGCTTTCAAACCACAGAGGGCAATAAAACACGCAGCAATTATGCTGCAATTACCTTGCAGGAGTCAGTTATCTGCTAATCTGTTGGGTTAAAAATATCCACACATGGAAATAATTTGGAGTGATGGGGACAATGTGGTTGATCTAGATTTAAATCCAGGAGTCTGTAGCCCTGCCAAACTCCAGTTGCTCTTGGTGAGAGATCTTTTTGACTAAAGGCTGAACAGGTTGGGAGTATTTGTAAACAAAATCTAAGGTATTGTTGTGATTTTCAAAACTGATGATGAATTAAAAAAAAACCCAAGACAACATGACTTGAAATCCATTTCATTTGCAAAAGCTACTTGGTGCACACTTGTGTACTGGATATACGGATATGAGTCAAATAATGCCACTCACTTTGGTGTTATCAAACTTAGATTAATGTATGCCAAAAAGTAAAGAAAAGTAGATTAAATGCTACATTTTAGGGGGTTTTAATTTCTATTTCTGTTTATATCTGGAATAACTAGGGTTTATAGATTAGGGGTTTAGATTTTTCAGACATGTTGATCCACTCTTCAGCTTTTTGTTGAAGATTGACATATCTTTCTTCTCTGGGGTTTCCTTGGAAACTGAAGCTGAACAATTTTTCTAGGGCTCCAATTCGGCAGCTGCCTCCTGTGCAAAGTACCTACTGAGTATGGGCAACATGAATTGGTGGGAAAGCAGGGATTTTCTATAGGAAGGACTGAGTGGTGATTGTTTATCTGACTCTAAACTGGATAAATAAAATGAATGAAGTACCAAGTTGCTCCTTTTTCCCAAAAAATATTTAAGACTGAATGAGCTGCCTACCTGAAGTGGTGTGCACTGTGGGAAAGTTTAGCAGAGACTTATAGTTAGAGGTGCTGAGCTTTCTTAAATCCACAAAAAGTCAGAGGGGATGGAAAGCTCGTGGCCACCCTGAGGACTGCAGAGTGCAGTTCAGGTTCAGTCTAAGAAGTTTTTACTTTTGGTTTTTAATAGGAGAATTTGGTTCTTGGAAATTCAGTCCTGGTCATTGTAAAGTGACTCAGCCACTCTAGATACACCATGTCCTTGTAGCTCCCAAAGTGTAGGTCTTCAGCTCTGGGCTTTATTTCTACATACGATTTTTCCAACTAGATGATGGCTTGGAAGATAGTAATAAATGCTCCCATTACTTAGTGGTTATTGAAGGGGTTAGGTGGTGGCAATAGCAGAGCAGTGACAAAGTTTTACTCTGTAGTAGGAGGGGAGGCCCAAGGCTTGCTCTGCATACACACCAACAGCCATTCATAACCAGACCACTCATTTCCCACTACCTGCTTGTTTGAGCTGGGGAGCCAACTTGAGCTACATCACATCTAGTGTGTGTCTCTGGCGATGAACACCATTTATCCAGGCTATCTCAATATGCTAACTACCTTTTGTTGCGCTTCCAGCTCTGATTTTAGGTGGATATATTCCAGATTTTAGACTTCAATAAAGCTTGGGCTCTTTAAGATGAAAATTGTATTATATGCTCTGCAAGGATTTATCAGGTAGTCAAGTCACATAACTTATCTGTTTCCTGAGAACTGAGTTCCTGTTCCGCATAATCCCAAATTTGAATTGAGAATTTAGTTTCCATACAAAGTCATAGTTGCTGGGCATATCCTTGGTAGAAAGCTCTATTTTAGAGTATTTGAGGATACATTTTTTGTTTGACTGTGTTCACATAGTGTGTCTACTAATTGGAATTAAAAGTATTTTTTTCCAGTGTAAGCCTTGCTCTAGTTCTGCCACCTCTAACGCATAGTCAGTTGGGATATTCCTGAAAGAGAGAAAACCCATTAAACTTGAATCTTCAATCAGGAAAATAAAAATCAAAGAAATTGTGGTTTGGTGTTTGGTTTTTTTTTAGGTGGGTTCTTCAAGCAGACAAATTAAGCACTTATTAATATTCCAGATTTTCTTATCCATTTTCTAGTCAGGCCAATGCTTACTTCTTACATCTCCGATTACTCTACTGGGACTCCTCCTCTGTAATTAACTTCTGAAGTAATTCTTAAATGCTGTGTTCTATTTACTTCCAGTAGTTATCAGATGACATGTCCTGCCCTTTAGCAGTAGTTTATACACATTATGCATAGCTAGAATAAACTAATTTGTTGCTTTTCCGTGTCCAGCCCAATGAGGCAGGGAGTCAGTGCACGTTCACTTCATTAGGAGTGGAAGATGCACAGCACGAGCAGAGAAACATTCAACTTACTGGCTCAAGCTCTAAATAAATAAGCTACACTTTCGGGTTTTTATTTTGGCAGTTTATGTAAAATGTACAAGTACTGAACTCTTGCAAACACCTGAATGCCAAAGATAACAGCATTGCTAGAGAAGCACGGCTTTCTCCCAATTGATCCCTCCATTGATTGACTGAAAAAATCGGAGTTTTTTTCCCGCCATGGGATCTCACTGAACACTTTTGGCTGAAATATCTGATGACTTGCCTTCCAGTGGACAGCTTTGCAGTGTGGGTCTGGGGCTGGGTTTGAAGGATCTAAGTTCACTTCCTCCCCTGGTTTGGGCTTTCCCTCGCCTTTTGAAGCTGTTCCACCTTGCACAGAATATTTAACTGTTCGGCCGGCGATAAGGAGCATATTACCCAACGTCTTGATGCATTTTTGATCAGACATCGAGCTGGGATGTGGTATGAATATGGTTGGACTTGATGATCTTAGACGTCTTTTCCAACCTTAAAGATTCTATGATTCTATAATTCCATGAATGAGCAGGGTCTGAACATACGAGCAGGTATGACCATAATGAATTGAGAGCCAGGTGGATCAGCTTTACAGCTTTGATACTCAACCATTTTGATAAGTCTTTTCCTACTGGACTTTTGCTACAAACATATATAAGTTTGCAGCAATTAGTAACTTTATATAAGAAAAATACTGGATATATGTTCAAATAAACAAAATATACAATATAAAGAAAATTTAACAATTTTTACTTACTTTCTTTGTTTTGTCCATTGCCTTCAGTATGGTTATGTTTAAGTCTTCCAAGACAGATAGAACATTTTCATACTCTCCTAAGTGCTGGGAAAAATATTCTAAAAGAAGAAAAACCATGTCACTTATTAATGAACTAAAAAATCACTATGTCATTAAATATCAATTTTATCAAGTCTGAATTCAGTTATGGTATTATTAACTATCTGAATATATAAAATGAACAAGAGTTATAATGAAAAGGATTATTTTATTTTTAAATTTTGTATTATTTCCCATCAAAATCATTCCTGGAGTACTTAAAAAAATAAATCAGTGTTTCAAACATTTTCTTTCAATAAATGAGTTGCCAAATTGACAAAAATTTAGAAGATCAGTTTGAGAGCTGAAACAGACTTATTTTTGAAATATCTGCATTTTCTTTCTAAACTAGATTTTCAGTTTAATAGTCTACTTTACAGTTACTAGCAGGAAATGAAGTTTTCATGTGTATGTACTAAATCTGATTATATTGATACAAAAATGAATAATTCTGTTAAAGCCCTTAGAGAAGATAAGATCAAGTGGGGGCAGTTGTGAGTCGGGGTCAGCTGAGACCAGTTGTTTTCTCTCTGAGAAGCAAAAAGACCATGAGTTGGCCAGATAAGCTTCTAGTCCCAGGTACTGTGATTATGCTTTGAACAAATATGATGCATGCAAAATACTTTTAACAAAAATCTCAGAAATAACATAAGTTGCAGGATGTCTTTGTGTAGCTGCTCAAAGCAAAGGACATTTTAACAGAAAGACCTAATGTAAAATCAGGGGGTATAATTCAATCAGAGGAATTACGGCAAGAGGAGGAGGCAAACCTGGGAAATCATGACCTGAGTTCCCGTTTGGTCAATGTGACAAAATACAATAGAGGGAGGCACAGGAAGGAAAAAGTGTGAGAAAAGACAGACAGATAGACAGAAAGAAAGAATTTAAAGCTAGAGGCTGTATTAGACAAGGCATTTAGACATCAGATCACCTGGAAGAGCATGAAAAACAACATATAAATGGCAGACTGGAAGAACAAGATTAGATAGGAGCTTTTTGAAATAATAACTAGCAATACTTTGAGGCTTTTAAGGGGTCAGTTTGAGCTTCTCAGGGCAGTCATGAAAGCATAAGGTTTCAGGAGCACTGTGACATAACCTGGTATTGCCGAGAGGTTGAATGAAATGATTTAGAATGAAAATGTATTGTGAATTAGTATCCTGCAAGTGACGCTTCGTTTCTGAGGAGAACTGAGATAACTCAGAAGGAGCTTTATAATCACTAGATTAAGCATGTGTTGAGTAAACTCAGTACCAGATTCACAGATGAGAAGCACCCTAGTGGCACCCTATGAAAGATTTAAAAGGCAACTGAAGCAGCCCATATTTACCAAAACAGACAGTAAACAGAGCCCATGCCAGGCTGAGATCTTCCTCAGCCCTCTGGCCTGCCTGAGGTGGCTGGTGGGGTCAAGTGCTGAGCAAATCTGTAAGCCTGCAGTGCAACGTCAACAGCAGTAAATCTCTTGCGGAACAAACCCCCCTGCCTTCCTTGGCCAGTTCTACACATTTTTGGCCAGATTCTCAGCCAGCAGAAGTCATCACAGCCCAGTTCACTTCATCCGAGTCTCTCGCCATATATTTATAAGCCACAGGCTGAAGTGCCTCTCACTGGGTTCTTGGCCATGTGTAGAGTTATCTTGTGGGTGAGTAAATGAGCTGGCATTTGACTTGACAGAGTTTTCAGCTTTTATAGCTCTCCAATATTGTTGACCATTAGCAAATTTATCAGGCTGCCATTTTTTGACATCTTTCCCTCAGAACTAGATTGGTTTTGGCAAGTATAAATTTTTTTTGACATTTTGTGGGAAGACTTGCATAAACTTTCTGTGAATTGTTTTCTGCTGCAAGCAGCACTCCTAAACCAGGTGTCGTAAGATCTGCTGGAGGCCAAGCAGGCTTTTGGGGAAATGACTCACAGCCCAGAATGGGGCACAGAAATGTGTAACTGGGCCAAATTCTAGGCCTTGCAGGAGTTTTTTTGTGATGAACGATAATAGAACTTGTCAAACCGCTGTTCTCACTGGCTCAAGTTGGAGGAGAGTAATGAACTTTCCTCCAGTTGGGTACTAAGATGACAATCTCTTTCAAAATTGCCAAAGCACTCATACCTCTGAAAGCGATGAACTAACTAGAAAAAATCTCACATGAAAGGGAAATAAAATAAAATAAAAGGTATATATCTTTACATAAGAACAGATCTTGAAGCTCAGCGAATGTGAAGTATTGATTACGAAAAATATTTTCAAAGTAATTTCTGCATGTAATGGATGAGAGTCTGAAAGATTATAAACCATCTGCATTCCCCCAAGAGTTCTTTCAATGGAAATTATTTTCCATTTGAGCTACAAAGATTAAACAGAAAAACAATCATATTACATGGTACATTCACTTGCACAGGGATAGATACAATCTTGCTGCAGGCATAGATTATCTCCTTGCCAACAAAAAAAAAAAAAAAAAAGGAACTTACCGCAGAGCTCTTCTGTGTCAAGATTGCTGGAAAGACAAGAGGACAGAAGGTTAGTGAGCTTAGCGATGTTTCTTGCTGGACTGGTAACTAGTAGGACTAAATATCAACCTGACCGGGATATGAAACTTCCCTGCTGGGGCTGTAGCAGGAGATGCGAGTGCCTGGCCCTGGCTGGCCTTTCTCTGCTGCCTTAGGGAGGCTTGTCCTAAGCTGAAGGCTGTAGCTGGCTGCAGGCCCAGCCTCCCTTCCTGATAACATTCCCACTGGCATGTTCCTACTCACTGCCAGCCTCCTTTGAAGTTCCTCATCTAGCCTTTGGGCATCATGATGCAGTTACTGCTCCTCAGGCTTTACACACATGCTCCTAGTGCTGGCAGAAATCCATCTAAACACCAGAAATTGGGGTTTTTTTCCCCACACCTTTCAGCCTGTACTCCTCTTCTGTGGCTGTCATGCTGGACAGCATGGCTCAGAGCTTGGCCCTCCATGCTAAACAAGGGGAAAACCCAACAGACTTCTGTTTGCAGTCTTCACCAGGCAGTAGTGCTCCACAGGAGAGACAGTACAGCAGGAGGATGAAACCAGACATAGCTCATCAGCACACGTGGTTTCTAAGTCTTTCTGGCCATACAAAACTGTTTCACCAGTACTAACTTCAGCAAAATCAGTGATGTGAAAAGAATAGCTGTATCGCCATATTCCCATATAAATACATTCGTGTATGCAAGGATTCCATACAATTCAAAACTATTCACTTCAAACAGATTTCATCTTAATCAACTCTTAAGCAATATTTTCTCTCTGAGGCTTTAATAGTCAAAAGATAAACCTTTTGACCTACAGCTCAATTCTGAAAGTTAGCATATTGACTTTCTTCCAAGGAGAAGAAACTGATTATTAAAGAAACTTAAAAGCATGAATGTCCTTTTTGAATCTTGCTGAGGGGTGAATATTGAACGGCTGATTGCACTTTGGATTTTTTCACTTATCTTTTTAATGGGCTTTTTTTATTGACCTTTTAATAAAATGATGACACACTATTATCTTAAAGTCACTTTCACCAGTGCTAACTTCCATACATCTGGCTTTTATTTCATGAGAGAGAAAGACAGAAATTGCATCATCCTGGGTTGTCACAAACTTGCATACTCAGGTCTATAAAACTTCTGAACGCTTTTAATTGATGATGTAAATGAGATTTTCCCGCAACTTTTGTTAACTAAAGGTGACCTGATCTGCACTTGAACAGGCCTAGTTGGATGCCTACAAATAGGTCTTGCATCTGATTTTTCCAGTGAAATTGGTGGCAGGTATAATGAAATGCATAGTAAGAATCAGTGCTGAAGCTGAGAAACTTAACTCTTAGGTTAACAGATGTTCACTCCTTGAATGCAAACTGAAACCTTGAAAGCTGGGAAGCTGCCTGAGTCAAAAAGCAGTGACAGAATATGATGATGTTAAATGACAGGAGTTTGCTGTTAAGATGCCTAGTCTTTATTCATTGTCCCTGCATTTTTTGCCCATTCACATCATCTGCCCTACTGTCTTCTCTTTGTAAAAGACATTTCTGCATTTCTTAATGTACAGCTCAATAACTGTGCTTAAAACAGCCTTCCACATTGTTAGCCAGTCAAATTCAGGCTCTCTCTTAAAGTTTCCTGTTAAAATCCATTCTGGTCCTTGTTCTTCTGCAGTATCCTCAGCAGTGTGGTAGCAATATAGTAAGGGAGTTGCTCAGAGGCTTCAGTGTTGCTGTCATCAGAACATCGCTGTCAGTCCTATTGACAGAAGCGATGCAGCTACAGATGGACTATGAGTAAAAATGGAAAAGTATTTGGGTGCTGAATTCATTTTCAGTTAGAATTGGGCACCTGAACAATGAGAAAATTATTGTCCAAAGTGATTTGTGCAGCAACTTTCAGGGAGCCTGTGACAGAGAATGGAAATGACATAAAGAGCATGGATTTCAGTCTAGCATATTCGTGATATTTCCTTCTCTATTATAAATATCTTCTGAAGCTCCATTGTTCTTGGCATCCTATTTAAAGGGGATGCTGTTCTAGGCAGGGAAACTATAATTTTGTGTCATTGATTATTTCATTCTCTCAGAAATAATAACATGCTGCTTCAAACACAGTCATGATCAAACCTGGAAATTCTTTTTCCATATACAAATGATTTTGAGCTCCCTGCAGGATGCTGCAGAAGCAATTAAAGAAGTTTGGAATATATCTAATAGTACAGGAGTGAGGTGCATGCTAGAGGGTTCTGCAATGCAATACTTAGGTTTATAGTGGGCACCTGTTCGTCCTTTCAGTGGGTACATATGCCACGGATGCTTCTGCTTAGACCTATAATCTGGCAACGCTGAACATGTTATTTGCAATATTGGCTGGGTGACTCACATCCAGATGCCAGCACGCCACTCCTGATAAGTGCACCCAAAGCATAAGGTGCAGCCGAATGCATTCACGTCATGTTGCATGATCATTTTTTTACACTTCTGCTCTCAATTTGCTTTCTGACTACTAAATACAGTCCTTTTACATGGCTGACTTTGTGTCTAAAATGTTCCCTACCTAATACCATGAGCTATTTTTAAAGGATTTTTACAAATATTCCACTGAGCAGTCCTGATCCCTGCAAAGTTGATTGTACCTGTTGCTCAGTGACAGACACGTAAGCAAATTCACTTGAATGAACTGTGGTAAAAGTGACCATTTGTGGTACCCCTGGAAGTGGCCCAAAATGTAGGAGCACAAAGCAGCTGTGATCACACCCTTGTTCTGCCCACCACAGTCAGCTGTGGACTGGGGCCAGCCAGGGAGGAGGGAAGGTTAAAGCTATTCCACCCATCCACAGCCCCATCCGCTGACCTGAGACATAGCATTCTCTGCGATGAAAGGCGCCTCTAGGCAGAAGTACCAGCAGAAGATCTGCGTATTTTCCCTGAACCACAAGAAGAGGCGATGACATCTCTTCAGCACAGTAATTGCATATAAAGTATGGACCCTGACATCTAAAGCAGTTATAGTATTGGATTCTTTGATAAAATATGAAAGACTTTATGAACTAACCCAATTTAGGAAATTCATTGCCATGACTATCATTGCTGGAGAAAGATAATGCTTTCTTCTTCAGATCTCTCCTCATTCTCAGATATGAGAAGGATTTATTTCAGAGGCTTGAACCAACTCTTTCTTGGACATTCCATTTGCACGTCTCTCTGCTAAATTTGGTTTTAGGGAGGAAAGTTTGAGACTGGTATCTCCTATTTTTAAGTAGAAGCATATAATTTGTGACTGAAAGGAATTAAGTGTTACTTAGACTGTGCAAGGGTAACTGAATAGTCATCCATGGACAATCTCAGCCAAAAAGCTGTAAGCGCTTTGCAACAAGAAAGCCTGCATACCATCCCACTTCAAGTCAGCAAAATAAGTGCTCCAACAGTACCGAGAGTGTTGTGCAAAGGAGCTTTATGTGAGCACTTCCATTTTAAGGATACTCTGTTTCACAGCTCCTTTGCAACAGCAAAGAGCTTTTTGCTCAGGTTTGTTCAAGGTTTCTTATCAGTGGAGACAAAACTGCCTTTTGGCAGTAGGATGCGGTGTTGGGACAAGCCCAGGCTTTGGCCTCTGGCCACAGAAAAGGGAGGAGAAGGGCCAAAAGTGGGACAGAGCTCCTGGGGCTGGTCCCTGGGAAGCCAGCCTTCCTGCTGCCCCAAGGACACTGCTGCTCTTCAACCCCAGGGCTAGCTGGACTGTGCACCCTCTGCCCTCTCAAATGTGGCATCCAGCTTGGCTTTCTGGGCTCTGATAGTGGGGTCACGGCTGTTTTAGTGTCCCACATTTTGCTGCACTAAATAATTGCCTAGTTTGCTTATGCTTAGCTCCAGGCCAAGTGATAACTTCAGAATCATCACTTACTGCTCTGAGCGTGGCAGGACTACAGGAGAGAATAAAGGTGTTTGTACGGAGTAACAACTTGTCCCAAAAAACCCAGTGTAGTTCTTTGCATTAGGCAATGATTCACAGGGATGCAATGACAACATAACCGGCTACCCACCTTAATCATCCTAGCTATCACAGTCTCTGTGTTGCTAAAAGTCTTAATAATACTATTAAAAGTTGCCGTACAGGTTAAAATCTGTAAAGAACTGTACAAGGGCTACGGAGCTATGGTTTTTTTAGCAGTCTGAATCACACCAACCTAAACAAGGAGATGAGAGCCAACGTCATGGTGGCTCTTTTGCCACAAGGAGCAAAGTTCAGAGTTTTCACCCTGTAGAAGACAATAATGTTTCATCTTCTGGTTTTGTCGAAAAATTATTTATTTTTTTTTAAACTGGGATTAAAATATTTATTGTTACACATTTATTTTGGTTTATTAAACTCCTTGGAAATGCACATATTGATAGATACCAAATCTGCTGTGGTTCTCTGGGAAACCCAGATCATGGAAGGGAGTAGGCCCTCAAACTACACCTACCATTAAGCATTGAGCTCACTGCTAGGAAGCCAATGTTGTCTTCCGAACTGAAACATTCTAGGTCAGCTCCATTTAGGTCAATGCAATTGAAACTACCCATTACCGTTTGATTTTCCCAGTGTGAGTGACTCTCATTTTTTTCCACAGAAAGCTGAATTTCCCATTAAAAATAGCCATTCATATGGAAAAATTTCAGGCAACTCTATTTGCAGTTTGTCTGTCCGACCAAGGATCTGTTAGTATCAGGATTGTGTAAATCATTCTCAGTGAACTTGTTTTGTTCAGTCATGAAATAGTAAACTGTATAATCAGCTCATTCTGACCAGTATCTTGCCTTTTTCTCTGTAGTTCCTTTACAAACTGATTTCTGTAGCTATTGTCTTGAAAAGTCTGAGTTAAAGCAAATAGCTGCAATTATGTCTCTTAAATGGCAGCAAGCACAGCTTTCTGAGGTCAGTGCTACACCATGTGCCTGAAATTCTTATTTTCTTATTTAATTTAAAAGATCTAGTTTTAAAAAATGGTCAAAACCCAATGT